TGAGCTTTTTGAAACACCCTCATATTGAGATGTGCATTACAAAACTACAGGGAGAACAAAATATAATCTAGCTAACTAAAATATTCTTACTTTTGTAATTTGACCTTACACTTCACACATTTTCTTAGCCCTTATATATCCAAGGTAGGCAGGTGTCCAGAAATGTGCTGTTTTCCATTGTAATGTCATCTTAACATCTCCCTCATAAATATCAGGATTCTCATTGTTTCTGGACTTCTAACCTCAGTGCACTCCCATGTGGATAGAGTCTTCACCTGTCACTGGCCAATTCACAGAAAGCATCCACTCTTTATCCAATTCTAGATCACAGCAAACCCAATATTAACCAGGACCATTAAGGGAGTATAGAAATGAGTAGTTGACTGGAACATGCCGGGAGCAAGATCAGGCAGGATGAAGGATGCTTGTGAACAGGCCACACTTTCACACTTGTTATTGACTGCTTATGCACAAAGGGGTACATGGAAAGATCCTGGCAAACAAATACATAGGCAGGTGCAGTGTGAGGAGCCGAAATGGAGGTTGAGCAGAGTGTGCAAAATATCAGCACCATGTCAATCAGGGTGAGTGAAGAAAAGAAACCCATCACAGAAGCCTCTGGTTTGCAGTCATCAGGTAAAAGCTTTGGACAAAGACATTCTGGGCCACAGGAAACAAAAAGACAAACCCTGTACAATGAATACACATGTACTCAGTAAAGAGCAGTTTTTGTTTGCTTGTTTTGTTTTTTCTAACATAGGAATTTTAAACTGTGTAGGAAAATAAGTATTATCATAAACAACACAGGGATAATACACATAAATGTAAAGGGAAATGGTACACTTTCACTGGCACTTTGGGAAGAAGTAAATCTTTGGTATATCTAGCATATCCATTTTAATCATCAATAAAAGTAACATTAAAATTTTTCACTCTTTTTTTTTTTTGGAATCTGAATCCTTAGTGTTACAAGGTGGCACTCTAATCAACTGAGCTAACCAGCCAGCCCTAAACCTGTTTTTAAATTTTTCAGAATACGAGACTGTATTCTGGCAGCCAGTAGCTTTTGTGGTTACTCTGCCCATCTCCATTCTCCATTGTTCCCATTACATGATCAGGCAGGAGCACTCTGGGATTATATCTCAGCCTCATGTAAGTGAGGATAATGTTCTTTTATAAAGGTTCCTCAGGAAGTAGAATATATATATATATATATATATTTCTTACATCACAGCTTAGAAAATACAGATGAAACTCAGAGGGTTTATCACTGTCATTCAAAAGTCATCATCAATAGTGAATAACCAGGAGAACACTAGTTGTGCAAAGGTATCCAAATACATTTTAAACTTCAAAAAGGAATTGTTTAAATCATGGACATCTGAAACACTTGGGTCTTGGTCTTGGTTTATATTTCTATTAGGGATAGAATGGAGGAAAGGAGGAAGAGAAACAGAATGATCAACATTATCATCTTGGAAGAAAGGCAAGTCTACAAAACTTTTAAAAGGATCAAGGTCAAGAAGAAATGAAGAGTATTAGAGTGGGAATTAATTGGAAAAAACCTCTTTTCTTTTACAAAATTCACATTTCGTAATAAATGTTGAGCTTTCAGAAGGAGAGAATAGACCTATAGAGAAAGGGGAAGGGGGAATGGGATAAGGAGTAATTGGGTAAGGGACACAAAAAGTAATTATGATTTATAATTTGATCATCACATACTGTATACAAATACTGATAGTCAACTCAACTCTGTACCCCATAAACATATATAAATAAAAAAAA